ACAAAGAATGCCAAACAACAAAGAATAAGCATATTGATGAATTCAATGCAAAAATGATAAAGATACTCCTAGGTATCAGTATCAATAAAAGTTAAATAATTGCTAATATTGCCATATTGATATTTATATAATATATATGATTAATTTTGATTATATATTTTCAGGTGAAAGTAGAATATTCCATATCAACCAAGCATGGTGCAAAAATTACATAAAATTCACTACAAATTTTGGTTCGAGGTAAGATATTTCATTATAATACCATGTTATATACATAAAATAAGTATGCATTTGTTATTCTAATCAAATGAAATTCAAACTAATTTATATCATGTATATAAGTATATGTTAAAAATGGAGATTAGTGATGGAAAGGAAAGTATTATACTTATTTTATTTCAAGTTACAAAAACTCTTATTGGTTATGAAATTTCAAAATATCTCAAGTACTTAAATGATAAGGTAATAAATTATTATTTACACAATTGTAATTTAATTTAATATAAAATATTATTTATAACATTATTATTATTTAATTGCAGGAAGAAACAAAGAAGAGAGGAGAACATGATTATTTCAACAATTTGGTTTCAAGTCTAAATAAGGAATTTAAATTTTTACTACAAATAAATTAAAAGCAAGAATTTGAATGAGTTAAATGATGATTGATTGCAGACAAAAAAAAAATTAAAATGAAGATAAAGATCCACCAACAAAGAAAAATAAAAGAAAGCTCATGAAAAAGCAAATAGTAGAAAAAAAGGAAAATGTTCAATCCAGTTTGATTATAATAGAAAATGATCCTTTAAAGAAACAAAATGAAAATAAAAATAAAAATGAAGATGATGACCTTACACTAGAAAGCTTCAAGAAAAAATTTCTTAATAAAAATTAAAATAAAGAAAGATTAGATATTTATTTTTTATGGAACTTCTTTTTGAGTTTTTATATATATTTTTTTGAATTTTAAATTTTATTTAGTGTAATAATGATTAATTTAATTGTATTATATAAAATTATTAAAATTAAATTATTGCATATTATATTTTAATTGACTATCACGTACATGTGCCCAAAAACTAGTAAAAAGAAAATGAGTTTTAAGGAAATTGAGATTATTGATTAGAATCTTTATTCATAGTAGAAGTTACCAGAAATGTGCTAGAAATAGAGTGTCCCAATAAATTTATTTTTAATTATTTGTGGTTAATTAATACATATGTTAATTAGATGCTTGTTTACTATTTTATTTTATGCTTATATTGTTTAATCATGCCTCTATTAACATGCTTTGAGTTAAATGGAAAGTTTATGTAGTGCAAAATTTGATTAATTAAGCTTTATGCTTATTATTAATACAATTTGCTAATAACTTGCATTTATTATTTGTTCAAAAAGGCATGATTGAAAATTTAGTTCTTAAATAAGCATGATTTTATGTTTACTCAAGCAATTGTTAAATAAAAGAATTATGAAAGTATGCTTAAATTTATTAAAACTATGTGATAATGTTTTAGTTGGAAAAAGCTAGAGAAGTAGTAATATATCTTTGTTATTTTAATCTTTTGCCCATATGATATTTATTTATGATTCTATACTTTATAGTTTGGGTAATAAATGTATGCATTATTACCATAATGATTATGACCATGTATATATCCAAGGTAAAATGCACTTATATTTAATATATCCACCATGCATATAGCATTTTTAAGAGATCTCCAAGAGAGATACTATGGAATTATAATAGAAATGCATATAAAAAGGTCATGTTCAATTGTGGTGCCATAAAAATCTTGGCAATGTCAAGAATATAAAGTATATATCCATTTTTATATTTATATGTATATTAGCTAAAAGTGGATATTGAGTTTTTCAAGTCTTTTAATTTAGTGAATAAGCAAAGATCACTCAATAATGTTAAATTCATGGTTCCATGGGTTATCACATTCCATGGCTTAAATACATGTTTTGTGAATTTTTGCATATGGTAATGAATTGAAACGTTCATGAGCTTAGAATTGGACATGGAGAACATATGCATGGTTTGCCATATATTAAGAAAATGAAAATGGATGACTATATGAATGGAAACTCAAATTATTTTATTATTAGCATATATGGCATCTATATGCATAAAATTGAAAATAAAACGTACAAGTCTCTATGGTACACAAGTTTTTATAATTTCACAATAAGGGTACCAATGAGAGCTTATATATGCACTATTAATATATGGACTTAATAATAACATTGAAAATAAAAGTGTACAAGTCTCTATGGTACATGAGGTTTTATAATTTCATGATAAGGGTATCAATGAGAGTTTATATATGCACCATTAATTTATGGACTTGATAATGATGATGGCTTTCAACAACCTCAATCCTTGAAATTTATCACTAAATGAGTTATCCACGGAAAAAGAGGTATGACTCTTAAATGAATAGTATTTTTGATAAGCTTAAAAATGATTTATTTATAAATAATACACAAATAGTTTTTCTCAGTGGCCTTTGCATAAAAGTAATATTTGTTTAATTATATTTATAATAATTATGACTTGCATAAATGAACTACATCACAAAATTATCAAGATATCATATATAATTAATCAAGTCACTATTTCATTTATCTTTTCACTATTTGGTGTTTTTTTTTTTAAATAGGAAGCCTCCAAATCTACTATTAGTGAAAGATAATTAACAAACATTTTATATCTTAATATTTTCTTCTTATAAAACTTCTAAAACTTTTATTTAAACTCAATATGAAAATATACATCAATAAAAATGATGTCAAATATAATCACTCTCAATTATTTTTTTTTTTTTAGTATATACTCATGCTTTCTAGTTTCTTTTTAATATTTTCATGCCAACTCATGGAAACTTATAAATTTATTTCATCATGGACACAATTCACCAATTTATTACCGTGAGTATAACCATGTCCATCACCCAAAAGGATCAAATAGCATTCATCTTGCTATTAATTTTTTTTTTCATTCACAAAATTTTTAAATCACTCATGGCTTTCAAAGTAAATATACTTTTATACTTTCCCTATATCTCAAAACTAAAATTTGAATGAGACATTTTTAATAAAAGAATGCATATTTACACATAGTGAAGATGATAAGAATCAAAAGACATAAAATTGTCACCATAATATTGTAAGATTTTAGTATAATTTTATAAGCAAATTATATAAGCTAATAACTTTAGTACACTTATTAAAGTAAAATTATAAAAAAAAGTCCTTATATATCTTAAAAAGACTAAAATGGTTTGGTCTATCCATTCAATTATACAAGAAAAATAATTAATAGATAGAAGTATAGAAACAGAATGGTTTTAATTTTATATTAATGAGTATAAAGTTTTAGCCACAACCAACATCATCTATTTCTTAAAATGACCAAAACGATGCAACAATGTCTAGAGCATATAAATGATATACAAAATGAAAAGTTTGAACATATTAGCTTAAAGTGATTATATTAGAGATTCAATCTCAAATAAGAGCAATTACCATAAAAAAATATTGAATACCAAAATATTTGGTTAGTTGTACTACAAATAGAATAGATATAAACCCTTACTATTAGATACCAATAATGAGAATCCAACTTTTAATTAGTAACCTCTAATTACAAAGTTTAATGGGTAAAAATAAGTTGTTGTTATATGTCTCTAAAGTACTAGTAAAATTTATTCAAATTTTAGAAGTTAGTGTAATCTATTGCTTGGAGATGATGTGTTTTTATACTCTTAATGGAGTCTATTATTTAAATTTCTAAAGCAATGTAGACATAATGCAAACTCTACCTATATAAATATAGAAATGATGCCACTTTAACAAGAAGAATTAAGGTCTGTCTTGTAAATATTTATGAATATGATAAGCACATGATCATAATAGTGCTAAAACGATTATAAACATCTAACAAAAGATTAAATAAATATTATATGTGTTATATTTTTTATTCTAACACTAAAAGTTAAGGTTTAATCTATGAACACCATCAATTTTGTTAGAATTCTAAGATATATATGTTAATTGAAAATTTAAATCCAGAGATACCTTCTTGTATTTTTAATATTTATTTGTGTGAAAAGTTAAAGATTAATCACCAATATTGTAAACTAGTGAGGGATTGTTGATAGTTTAGAATATGGTGTATCCCAAATTGGATAAAAAGATTTAATTATTGATGAATAAAAATAAATTTTGTATTAATTTTATTCATATTTTAAATAATTATGTTTTTGAACAAAAATAATTATTATATAACAAATGGTTATAATTATTTGAATATAAATAGATTATTGTTTACAAAAATCATGATTATATAAAATGTTATAATTATTTGAATATAAATTTATGTCTATTCATTCATTATAAATGAATTTTTTAATATAATCATTTTTACTATTTTTGATTGGAGAGTTTGAGGTTTGATTGTATCCGATAGATAATTATTTTTAAAAATATATTCTTCATTCCTCAAAGCCAAAATTTTTTCTATTATTCTTATTCTTTTATTTATTTTTTTTAAACAGGTATAATTATAGCATAGTGATTGTAACGCTTTTTCTCTCTCTCTCTCTCTATTTTTCTTACCTTTATTTATGTTTGATTGTTTTGAAACTTGTAGTGAAATGCCATTTTTCATGTTGCTTAAAGTTCTTCTAATCAATCATTGTGGATTGAGATGTGCATGATCAATAGAAAAGGCAGTCATTCACTTTTGGCCAAACTTGACAATAACGAACAGTAAAAAATTTTCTACATTTCTAAGTGTAGTAAACGGATTATTATCGTACAGGACAAAAAATGAAATTTGAAAACAGGGTGAAGAAAAGAAAATTGCATGGTCATTACTCTCAAGCAAGTTTTTTTTTTTTTTTTTTAAGGAGGGAGGGGAGGAGGGCGAAGAGTGGAGGAAAGAAAGTCACAAGTAAAGGACTACCAAAATTTCACAAAGTAACTCGTAATTCATGCTAAAGTTGAAGAAATTCTTTATTAACCACCGAAATCCATTTTCTTCTTTCTACTCTTACAATCTGCCAGAAAGTTGAAGTGAGGCATTGTTCATCAGGCCCCGAAACAAATGAATAAATGCATTAATTTGTGTACAAGTCACAAAAACCTACATAACCAGGTAACTATATAGATATACAATAAAAACAAGTAAAGCTAATTGATAAACATCTACTTTGTTGATGTGCTGCTAAGGTTAGTTGTTTCACTTCCAAGACAGGAATCCATCAAGACATGAATCATCCCTTGGTTCGTCCTTAGCTCTAGCAAATGCCCCTTCAGAGAATTGTGCTTGGCTCATGTAGGAGCCAATGGGCTTTCCTGAGAATCCAAAGTCACCTGTGTTCTGCAGCATTTCCAAGGTAACTGGAATTTGGCTTCCTGATGTTGGCAATCTTGTCTGAATGGAGTTTGGGTAACTTGTGTTGCTAGGCTGACTGGGGACAGCAGAAGGCCTTATAGGCATGGCCATAGGAGCATTGCTGTTGCTTGCTGTGGGAGGTCTATTTATTGCATAGCCGCTCCCACGTGCTGCAGGAACATCATGGTTATGTTTCCCTTCGTAAGTTGTGATCACAGCCCTCAAATCATGGGATGCTCGCTCAACATGTTTTCTCACCGGACAGCCAATTGTTGTACATTTGTAGTAGCTCCTGTAGAGTGGATAACAGAACAATTTTAGATAAGTTGAATAAAATCTGTAAGAAACATCAACTTCATGAACAATTAGGTGAAAGAGTAATCACCTTGGATTGGGATTTCCCTTAACTACTTTCTGCCCATATTTCCTCCACCGGTACCCATCATCAAGAATGTCGATATCACTTGTTGTTTGCACCACTATTCTAGGCTCTCTTACGGTTCTGCTACCAGAACCTATGATAACCTCATCCTCATTTTCACCTTTCCTACAAAAGAGAAAATTACAAGGTTAGAAAACAATTTTGCTTCCATCATAAAAAGCCATTAGCGAATCTCTTTTTTGCTAGGCTTACCATCTTTTGGCATCAGGTTCATTTTCATTGTCATCGCCACCTGGATTACTTATTGGTGAAGCTTGGTCAAAGTCATCCTCCGCCAGGGAACCTGAATTATCCTCTTGCATTAAAAAGGAGTCTGTTTGTTCGGTGCCTAATGTGCCTACAGATTGATCAGATATCTCTGAGTTGGTGCATGCAGTATGAGATGATGACCTTCTTGTAGATTGAGGCTTGGGATGGTTGTGGCTTCCTTTATAAACTATTTCAGTTATTTGTCCATCCAAAGATCTCTCCACCTTTTTCTTTGTGGGGCAGTTAGGATATGTGCACTTGTAATAACTGCGTGGGTTTTCACTTCCTTTCACTTGTTTTTGCCCGTATTTTCTCCAATTATATCCATCTTCCACCTTTCCGCTCTCCCTGATAAACTGAGACGATTGATTGTATTGGTTATAACCAGCTGGCTGGGAAACGGTATTGCTTTGCAGATTTGTTTGCAATGGGGCCATTTCCGTGGAGAAGTTCTGCATCGGCGCAAATTCTGATTTTACTCCACCAACCTTCTCTAAGGTCAAATCAGGTTGCTTCATGGGCTCGCTGAAATTCCATGTCAATTGTTCCTGTTCATGAAGTGCAAAATTAGAGCAAAACTTGAAGTATAAACAAATTAACCTGATTTCCATTGTAGACATCACATCAATTTAAAACATTTTGTTTAGCTAAAATATACATAGCCTAGCCTTTTAGGATACTGTATCTCGAGTTGAATCTTTAAATTTTATGCTAAATGCCTGGATATATCAGAAAAATAAAAACTTTCAGTAACACCCTGAAGGAGTTGATCCTGTCCAACCAGGCTGAGACCATAAGTCTTTGTGCGAACTTAGCAACCATAAAAGTAATTTTGTCTCCCTATATTTTCGGAGTACCATTTGTAGGGAAGCATGCTACTGTTTTTCTTGATTCTCAAAAAGCCTTACTTATTTTGTAGCTGTTGGTAGTTTAGTTTACAAACCGACAAAGCATTTTACAAGGCAAGAGTATATTTTATTTTCTAAACACGACAAAAAAAAATCTGCGACAATCCCAACAAAAGACTGAAGAATTAAAGAAAAATTAGAAGAGATGTGATCGTTCTATCTCCAGACGAAGATGTTTGACGATTATAGAAGACAAATGAAAGAAAAGAAGTTAATGAAGTAGCGTACCACCGAAACAATGTTGGAAGAAGATTGAATGGTGGATGATGATGAAGTTGTGGAAGGCCTTGGCTGCGGTTGAAAGGAGAAGTCAAAGAAGTTGTTGGGTTCCCCCTTGTTTACTTGTTGATTGTCATTAGAATTACTACAACTCCAGTTTAAGGTTTGACCAGCAAAAGCCCCCGTAGTCGGCGAAGGGAAAATCTATAGAAACCCAGCAAAAGAAGAGAAGAATTCCATAATTAGTATAATAAAAATAGAAAATATTCATAAACACGTTTAATTAATTGTTCAAAGAGTAGAAATTAAGAAACTCACACTAGAAGTGGAGAAAAGAACAGGTGAGTCCAGGAAATCATTAGAGCTAAAAGCAGCAAGTGGAGTTGTAGCGAAGTAAGAAGAAGGAGAAACAGGAGTTGGAGATATGGGTAGCGAAGAGGGAGCAAGTGACTTGAGTTTTGGAATTTCAATGCCAAATTTATCATCAGTTTCAGTTGGGTGGTCAGAAAGTCCCCAACTGGGAATTGACGCGCTTCTTCTGCCTTGGATGTTGTCCATGTTCATAAAAGAAGAGGAAGCAGCCATGGGGAGGGGGTTTGAGCTTGAGAAAGACAAGGCTGCCTCAAAATTTATAGAAGTGTTGGATCCCGATTGGGAAGAAGCCATAAAAAGGGAGAGCGAAGGAGGAAGAAGACAGGTGTGGGTGGAAAATTAGATGGTTATTCATGGTATTGGTGGCCTATTGCCTATTGGCGAGTTTTGCATTAAGGTCTCACCTCACCTCCATGCTTCTTCTGAGAAGCTAAAAGCAAGTTTGACCGTGGAAAAATAATTCTCAGTCAAAGCTTGTGGCTTTGACTGGACTAGCCATATTATGACACATGAAAGGCGGCTGACGATCAAGCTGCGCTGAGCAGCGCCTTCCCATCCTGTTTTGAAAATCCAACTCTCCATGTTGTTCCACGTCCGTCATGGAATCTCCACTTGGCTCAATCCCATAATTTTATTTTATGAATGAACTATAACGCTGCCCCGTTTCGCTGGGACGTCATTTTCTTCATATTTTTTGGTTTTTTAATTTAATGGGTTAATATGTAAAATGGTTTTGGTATCATATACTTTTTTTTATCTATCGATTTAGTATTTAGGAGAATAAAATTTTTATTTTTATTTTTTAATTTTTATTCTGTCATGGTAATTCACATTATTATTATTAAAGTGATTAACATAATATAAATATTCAATAAAATAATGTTATGAATTGAACCTATTCAATCATTTGCATGAAAGTTATTGTCGTGTTAACAAAATTTTAAATTTTAAAAAATATTTTTTAATTTTTATTTAAATATTGACGTGATAAATAGATGATGTGGTGATAACATAATATTTTATATCATGTATCATAATTTTATTAGATATTAATATTATATAAGTAATTTAACTAATCAATATTAGTCATGAGTACCAGAGTCCTTAATGGATTAAAGTATGAAATTGACAAAAAAATATATAATACAAAAGCCATTTTTGTATTTAACTCTAGTTTAATTAATAGTTACAAATGATTTTAAATTATATTATATTAACTAATAATTATTTATTTAAATAGTATTTATTTATGTATGTTTTAATGGATTATGTATTAATAGATAGTATTTCACCTATAAGTATTATAATATAATTAATCAATTATAATTTAAAATTATGTGAGATCTATTAAAATTTTATTTACAGTTCATATTTATAAGTGATGGACTAAAAAATTTGTAAGTGATATTTTTCCATATTAATAATATTAATATAATTATATTTCATTAATTATGAAAATTAATTATTATTTATTGCATAATATAAATACATTTGCAAGTATAAGTTATATATATTTAAAAATATTTATATTTTATTATATAATTTAATGTACCTTTTTACTTAAGGTATTCAAAATATATCATATTTCGTGCTATAAATGTTTCTTAATAATAAACAATATAATTGTCAGATAAAACAATCATTTAAAATATAATCTCAAAAATAATTTTTTAAAAATAGTAAAAATAGCTTTTATTTTTATTATTAGTAAGTATAAAATTTTCATATTAATAATAACGAGGAAAACAAAAAAAAATTATAATTAAAATTATATATATAGTATTTCATGTAATGCCATTAAATTTTCTTTGTAAATTTTCATGCCATGTTACAAGCATTATAATTTTCATTAATTGATTGATCAAATGTATGATTTTTTTAAATTATTATAATTTATAATAAATTTTTGTTAAGATATTTAAAAAAAAAAGGAAATAAGAATAGTAACTTAATTTTTATTTTTTTTTGTTTTTTATATTTATATAGTTATCATCGTTATTATATTTATAAGATTCTATTTTTTTTTTTACTTTATTATAGAAAACAAATGACAAAAACTTAAAATTTATAAAAAAAAAAAATCAATTACAAACACACATCGTATAAATGATAAAAACTACTCAAATTCCATAAAAAAAAAAAAAAAAAAAACTCAATTACAAGTTCACATCAAACAAACACTCACTTTTTTTGTTTTCAAATCCAATTATAATCCAATTTACCAATATCTAAATCCATCAAACTGAACAACTTATTTTACTTTTTCGATTTACTAGAAAAGCTTACCCGTCAAAACCAACTACTTATTTAACCTTTTCTATTTATGAAAAAAGTTTTCTTATTTTTGTTTTTCCTTTATTTTTACTAAATATTTTATTAAAAATTAAATTAACATTTCTTTTTATTTAAATATTTTCAACATTTTCAACATTTTTAGTAAGATTTTATTAAACTCCCCCATTTAAGAATTTTAAAAAAAAATCACAAGTTACAATTTTTTTTAATTCCATCATTAGAAAAATTTTCATTTATTTTCAAACTTTTATAAAATTTAGTTGATATAAATAAATATAATTATAAAAAAATTTATAATTTTATTTATCTAACCAAATTTTTTAATTTTTTTATGTTGTCAAATGATTAAATCATGGTTCTAATTTAAAATTTTAAATACGTATGAAAACAAAAAAGAGAAAATAAATAAAATAAAACTAAAAAACAATATAAAAGAAACTAAAATTAGAAAAGAAAAAGCCAAAGAAAAAAATTAATTGCCATTTTTGTTATAGAATTATACCACAAAGTCAAAATGATTATTTATATTGTAGTTATATTATTAATATAAAAAATAATTATATATTAAATATGTATCATAATTAAATATTTTAAATAATTTTTATATGATTATATTAAGTATGTAACAGTATATTATAATTAATTTTTTTTAAATAATTTTTATATATTTATATTAAATTAAAAATAATAATAAAAAATTATTAAACATATCAAACATGAAAAATATGTTTCGTGTGTCTTATACGTGTATATGTATAGCACGGTTTAATTAAATGTACTTTTTGTATCATACATGTATCGAAATTTGTATCAATACGATTAAATATAAAATATATATTTTTAAAACTCATTTGATTTTTTTTGTGTTATTTTGATATCATGTGTAAATTTGTCAAGTCTAATAAAATTATATTTATTTTTTATTTATTTATAAAAATTAACTTTAATTTAAAGCATATAAACTACAATATTTATATTTATTTTAAAAATATTATTTTTTTACTTTTGACCTTTTAACAACATTATAATAAAATTTAAAACTTGAACTCAGATTAAATAATCTGTTTAAATTTGATCTAGTTTGATTATAAAAATTAATAAATTGAAATCGAAATGAGTTGAACTCGAATATCTCGAGTATCAAATTTGAAATACCCAAATCAAAATTATTTGAACTTGAATTGATTAAAATTAAAATGACTCAAATCCACAAAAAATGATCCAAATCTAAAATGATTCGAATTCAAAATAACTTAAAATCGAAATAACTTAACTTAAAATTGACATGATATTTTTAAAACCTATAATAATTCGAATTAATTAATTAACTTGATTCAAATCCAAATCAATTGATCGGATATACATAAATATGTATCAATGAATATATTTGGACAAAAATTGACATGATATTTTTAAAACCTATAATAATCTGAATTAATTAATTAAATTGATTCAAATCCAATTCAATCAATCGGGTATACATAAATTATGTATGTATCAATGAATATATTTGGACAAAAACTTTAATGAGGGATGGCTTTATCGTATTTGTATTTTTTGTTTTCAAGTTTCTTCTTAAATATAAATAAATGATTGCAAAATATTACTATTTATAAATTAATTACATCCTATATGTCTTTATATAATGCATGTGTATGTGCATGCTATATGTATAAATAAATGAGAAAAATTGGACACTTTGGTGAAAGCGTATTTCTGCCATCTTCTCCAAACCTTAATTTGCTAAAGTTGTTTGTATGAAATATTGAGTGTGTCAAATTTTATTATGATTAATCAACTTGTCCAAGTCATTTTGTGAGAAGAATTTGACCATATATCTTGTAATTGTAAACTTATATTTATTTTGTCTTCAAATCTTTAATTTAGTGATTAAAGATATATGAAAAAACATTAAAAATCTAATCTCGAATTAAATTTTTTATCATTCTTCTTACTTATATTAAGATTTTGTTCCCTTTATGTAAAAAAAAAAAAAAAAACTTACATTTATTTCATAAAAAAGGAAAAAGGAAGCAAAAAATTTAGCAACTAGGGGAGCAAATGCCCATAAATTAATTACTTTATTTATATCTAGATCATACCACGTGGGGGGGGGGGGGAGAACACAAGCAGGCAAGCCGTGGTGGATGTCAAGCTCCCTGCAAGCCGAAACTGTTCTTGTTATTATTATTTTATTTAAACCAATGAAATGGTCTTCCCTCGTAGCAACCTTGTAATTTTGACCATTTCTGAAGGCGACATCTGTATTTACAAATTTGCTAAATACAAAAACATCAAGTCGCTAAAATCACCCGGCTTCCATGGTGTGGTGTGGATGAATCCAGCGACCTCAACTTTGTATTCGAATTCCGTTTTGGTTTAATAACAGTATATATTTTTAATTTAGTTGGAACTTGAATGCTTTCATCTGGTTTAATTTAGCCCCCAGTTAGAAAAACAGAAGTAGCATAGCTCCGGCGGCCTTTCTTTCAGGAAAAAGATCAATACATCTTCTGGATTCCATTGGTTCATATTTTGACTATTTGACCATATCAGTTAGCTGCACATCGTTTGCAGTACTATAATATTTGCTTGACTCTGTCAACTTTATACACTCCATTTGTCTACCAAACAAAAGTTTATTATATATTTGGACAATCACCTTAAGCTTCAAACAATGCTTTTTTTGTTAAGCGATTAAAGATATTGTTTCAAGCTTTTCTTTTCTAGTGATGTCAGTTGAATCCATTGCCAAATGTTTGTATAGAAATAGAAGCATTCTGACTGCAATGACTTTGACTGGGTTCAAAATTCCATTCGGAAACGGGATGATGTTCTGAATAAGCCGAGTCTGATTCTTTTGTGATAATATTGATAATAATAAAACCAATATTGCTCCATACACCATGCTATCTATGCAAAGGTTGACTCCACAACTCCACCTATAATTAATGCTATGCCACTTCCAAGGTAGCAATAAAATAAAGCCAATGATCCATCCATTTCCTTGCTAGCCTCCTCAACTCTTATCAGTCATCAACTCCGGCCTTGCCTTGAGTTTAGCTATTCATCTTAGGGTAACCTTTTTGTAAATCACTCTTGGTACTCACCAAGTTGAGCATCATACCAGATCTTCCATAAAATTATTTTACGATGATCATGCTTATCATACACAGGTGGCCTTTTTTCATTTTTTGCTTTATTATAATGATTATTCTTATTACTTTTAAAGATGCAGTTCACATTTGACTCGTTCAATTCACAACCAATTTGAATTACAATGCAAAAACATGTACACTCCTTTCCCTGACCAGGTCAATCATTGCGATCAATTTCTATACCAGAAGAAAACGCTTTTTGGTTAAAAACCAGCTCATTGCCTGATCAAATCCAAAATTTTCTACCAACTGCTGCGTAAATCCTCATTAACAACATCAATTATAATTTCATAAAATAAGTGGATCTTTTCTCCTTTACGAGGCTTTTCAGTAAATTGTCATCTGATTCTATTGACAATTAAGCATCCATAACTAATAATATACATCAAGCAAACTTAGTACTAATAAACACACATATATATATATATATATATATATATATAAACACATTCTCCAATTCTATCTAACGTTTCAAGTACACGAGACTATGCTAGGCATAGAGCCACAAAGCTCGATTGCTTTGGCATCAAAGGCCAACACTTTGACAATCCATCAACATATGGCACCTGAGGAAACTTTGCACTACTTTTTCATTTGTTGGCAATAGATGTTGACTCACCTAACTGAAGAGATCTTCAAGAATCTGAAAGAGTATCTACACAGCACCTGAAGGCTAATGCTTTGTCAAAAACCTAATATCTTCAATGATTCCCCTGAGTCTACGGCTAGAATCTGCATTTGTAGATAATAGCTGCTAACTCCTCTGATCTACAAGGTCTTCAAGAATCTCTATGGCATTGGATTTTCTAACTGTAATTTCCAACACTTGGGATCCAATTCCACCTGTCAATTGCATAATTGAATCACTTGAGTCTATCATAGAAACATTATTCAAACCTAGTTTCCCCAAAGTTTCTGACTTAGTAGTTAGTATATGCATTTTGTTCATTTCAAGATTGTCAAAGTCCCTTCAAAAATTCAAAACATACAGTTGCTCATAATCATCTTGCAACTTCTTCAGTACGTAAATGAATATTTTCAAAATGCAAAATTATCTTTGTTCTGTTCCAAAAGTATGTCTGCATGACATTTGAAATATATTGCAACTATACTTGTATATCTGTTCTAAATCACATTTAAATGCAACAAGCTTGAATCAAGGCACTTTTGTTACGATAAATTTTGTAACAAAAAATCATAAACCTTACCTGAAGCACTTTATCTCTCCAGTGAAACATACAACCACGTGCTTCCAAATGTTCAACAAGAGGATGGGGTAACAGCCATCTAAATGCTGCCTGAAGTTTCACTTTTGTCAACCCTCCGCATGCCAGTAAGAAAGCTGCTAGTCCACAGGGAGTCAAGCCTTTTAAGTGCAAGATTGTTATGTTCTGTAGGCAGCCAATGCTGGTCAGTGATAACAGTCCTACGTCCGTAACTGAGCTATGGGACAAGTTAATCTGCAAACAAAAGACTGAATCAGATTTTGTGGTATGTCGACTTTTCTTTTGCATGCAAAGTTCCAAAAAAAGGAGAGGGTAACATACTTGTCTAAGGTTTTGAGAAAAATGAGCAAGTGGAATCATTCCAGCATCATCAATGTTATGACACTTTTTTATGTCTAGCTTGGTAAGTTCCTTGCATCCGACGACAACAGCTGTTAATCCTAAAGATGTTATCAGAGAACACCCTCGACTTTCAAGTGTCTTTAACCGTGAGCATTTGGATAAAGATAGCAAGGAACAATCAGTAATATCTATACAGTAGGATATATTAATCATTTCAAGGCCAGGGCAACCTTGTGCAATTGCTAAAATACCCATATCTGTTATTTCTGCAGACCTGAAAACAGCAACCATGTTCAGATAATCATGAATTGCTTTCTTCATTGCATCAATGATAAATCAGTTCATATATATAAACTGTAAGGAAATTTGTTTGCCACAAGACCAAAAGATATTTGACAGATTGTCCCTAATAAATTAGAGGGTAAGGGAAAGAAGAGACAAAAAGAATTTTTAATGAAGGTCAAATAGATAACCTGTACAGATCAAGCTCTAGAAGTTTTGGGCAGCCCCTGCCAATATCGATGAGTCCCTCATCAGTTATATTATGGCAAATTCCTAGTTTTAAATTGGATAGTTTGGAACACCTAGAGATGTACTTCAGACCTGCAAACAGAAGATACCATAACTGCATCAAATAATACCATAGTTCTAACTACACTAGCAAAAATGGAAAAAAAAAAAAAAAAAACCTTTATCGTCAATTTCATTATCTGTAAGGTCAAGCTCTTCAAGCAAATGGCACTGCTGCCCGATCAAAACAAAGGGTTCTCTAGAAACCAGGGTACATGACTCCATCCTGAGAGAAGTCAGAGAGTTGCACAAATTTGTGATGTGGGCAATAGAGACATCGGTTATATTGCGGCAACATGTAATGTCTAGCTTCCTTAAGTCTTTGTGTTTTGTTACAACGAATGAGAGGCCTTCATCTGTTACTCCTGAACATTTACATAAGCTCAGCTCCCTTAATGATACGCACCAATTTCCAATGGTTTTCAACCCATCATAGGTAATCAGACAACCATCCAATTTAACTGATTGCAACAGGGAAAGCTTTTTCAAACAATCAGCAAGAGACGAAGTTACCTGAAGCATCACCAAATGCTACATTATAAGTAAAAAAGTAGGAGAGAAACCCTCTCAAATATATAAAAGGAACCTGTTGGGACAGGAAGAGATGACCATATAGAGAGACTTACAGGAGAACCATGGGCTAAGGTAAGTTGCTGCAGACCTTCGGCACCATTTATTAGGGAAGACAAGCCATTGTGACTGATATTCTGACAAGCCGACACATCAAGACTCTGATAAAGGACAAATAAGTTGATTTTTGTCAATTAAATACTTTGATGAAAACAAGATTAAACTCTTGATCTGTAAGATATATTGCCTTCAGGATCCTATATAGGCATGGACACAACAAATTCGGTAAACAAACCATCAAATTCAGCACCCCAATCATGCAACGCAACAATAAGATGCCCATTGACCCATAAAAAAAATGCAGGAATACTGAAAACAATATTAGACTTTTGTTGAACCACTTTTCAACATAACATAAGTAGATTAGGTAAATGATAACTGAGACGTAGGGTTGAAAAGAATGATCTTAGATATGACAAACTTACCAGTTAAATCCAACAAATTTTAACAAAAAAACCTAGATAATAAATGGAAATCCTAAAATTAGCCAACTTTCCACGAGAATATACCTTTAATGACTTGCATCCATGTTTGAGAACTGCAAGACTGTCATCATCGATACTAAAGCATCCTTCCAGAACCAACTCTTCCAGATGTTGTAATTTCAAGATAGATGATAAACATGTATTTGTAATCTGCACGACGTTAAAGCAATGAATAAGAAAATATATCCCAACGAAAAGTATATTTTCAGCATTTAAAATAGTACTATAAGATATGAAATGCAGCCACTGGAATTTGATCAAACAAGGAATTTCCTTATTGAATAGGCTTGATAAGATTTAAGAACAAGCCAACAACCAAATCTAAAAACAGAGCAAAAGTCTTGAGCTTGAGAGCTAAAATTCTACAAAAATCCCATGTCACAGAGGACGATATAACAAATAAAAAATCAACGAGGAACATACTTGAAACAAAAACGTTACTTACACTCAAGTAAGATAGATCCAAGTAACAAACATGCTTGCACTTAATAGCAATCAAACCAACACCCAAATCACCAACCCCCAAGCACCATTTCAAGCAAATGAACCTCAACTTTCTGCATCCAACGGCAACACATCCCACCCCCATATCCGTAATCGACTTACACCTCGCCAACCACAGCTTTTCCAAATTCTTAGCCTCGGCAATAGCTGCCATAGCTGAATCTTTCAACTCCGTCCCGTTGGACAAATCAATCTCCACAAGGTTCTTACAATTCAGAGCCAAACCAAACAAACCAGAAGTCGAAAAGAGACGACTTCTCGAGAAATCAATGGAACGAAGAGTAGAGGCGTATCCATTGGATATAATGGAGAGAGAGGCGTCGGATACAAGTGAGCAGAGGGTGAGATCGAGATGGGTGATATTGGGGTAGCGGCAAAGGATTGCAGGGAGGTGTTCCTGGAGGCGGGGCTTGAGGGACTCTCGGTGCTTGGATTCTGCAGCGTAGAAGGACTTGCAAACTAAAGAGAAGGATTTTTTGTCAAGAGGGTTGCGGTTGAGAAGGTCGAGGATCATGAAAATGATCTCTTCAGACAGCAGATCAAAGGGGTTGAAGTTGAATCCTCCTAAGAACTCGTGCTTTTGCTTCTTCATGGTTGTTCGCGTTTTTCCTGAAAAGTTTAGAGCTTGGGCGTGTCGGTCAAGCTTGAACTCGGAGAAAAGATTTTGTGTGTGTGCTTTTAAGGCGGAGAAGTCGCCTAACCGTTACCAGAAAAAGAGACAAAAGTAAGAAAGCGTAGAGTAGAGGGCGAGGAAGAAGAAAGGATTTTACGAGTATAGGCTTTGCGGGGATTTCCGGAAGCTTGGCTTGATTGGTATGTTTTTATACTAAGTACGAAATTACCCATTCCCTCTTTCAATAACTACAAGTATGTGTTTGGCTTAAAGAAGTAGAAAATAGAAAAAGGAAAGGGTAGGAAGGTGAATAGAGGGGGCAATGAGGACCGTACCGCAAAGGACGGGTGAGGACAAGAGGAGGGTAAAGTGGGGAATAGAAAAAGTCACTGTCATGCTACAATGAGAACTCATTCGGTGGGAGAAGTATGTGAGGAAGGACAGATTCGAGTGCGGAGTGGAGGACGAACGGATGGTACGAATATTTGACCCAATCCTAATTCTACGTTTCCCCACTCATTCGCGAACCAGCTTTTTTATATTTATTTAATAATAATTTCCAATAAAAAAATATTCCAGAATGAATTTATATATATATATTGGTGGTAGAGGTAGAGAAAGAATATGGAGAAAATTCGCCGTACTTATAATTGGGGTGTGCATAGATTCTAGATAGTACCACTACCCGCCTTACTCAGATAAGAACGGACCGGATCCAACCAATACATATCATCCCAATAACAAACCCGGCCTTTATTTACGGCAGAAAGTAAGGGAGGAAGGGTGTGACTCGTACCGGGGCTTTCTCATTTCTCATTCCGATACCTTTTTTTTTTTTTTTTTCTTCCCATTGAAATTAATGGCTTAATTTGATTCTCTTTTCTTTCAGTGAAGCCTTATTTGGACCTCCTATTGCTATTGCTGTTGTTTTCACTTCTCCTTCCTCTTATCCTTTGTTTTTTTTTGTAAGACTAAAAAAATTTTTAAATTTTTTTATTTTTAATAAATTTTTATATTTTTATTTTATAAATAAATTTTTATTTTTATTTATATTTAAATAAATCCTTACTTCACATGAAAAATTAATTGATGTTAAAAATTTATTTAAATACAAATAAAAATTTAAAGATTTTAGATATAGATTATAAATTATAAATTTATTTAAATAAAATAATAAAATACAATAGTTCTTTTTATTTTTAGTTAAAAAATTTTATAATTGCAATTGGACATTCATGTCCATAGAATACAATGTTATAAGTCCTCAATGCCCATCGTGACGTGGATCGACACTCCACCAAATTAATGTTATCCTGGAAATATGAATACCTTTTTTCACTTTTTTTTTTTTTCTTTTTTAACAAATGTAGTAGTAAATTGTTACTTTTGGTAACAGATTTGTCAAATCGTACGGCTGGGACTGAATCGTAAAAGGACACTTCAACCTGTACGGTCCGAATTTCTACCAGATAACATTTTCATGATAAGTAAAAGATTTTCCCACAGAGTCGCCATCGTTGTAGGATTACACAAAGCAAAAAAAATCATGCTTGACTGGACTGGGTCTGGGGATAGAATCGAATGCCCTTGGCCCGTTGTCCTTGTTTTTTCTTCTTTTCAAATTTTGCCTATTAATAATGTTCATTATAATAAAAAAGCAAAGATTGTGGACATGATACCGAATGTCGCTTATTTCTTGGAAGTGTTTCTATGGCGGAATATTTTTGTGTGAGTAGGCAAAATTTTCCACCAGAGTGGTGATTAATCCTCCTTCACTTTAATCTCGGACTTTAAACAAGATTTTTGTTTTTTTGGAGTGATACTGAGTGTCCTTTGAGATGTCAAGAATATAATATTGTCCATTCACATGACTATCAAAGTAAAAGGAATATATTCGTTGATTACCCAGATATAAAGAAAGAAAGTGACAAACACTTTCCTATTTTTATTTATCTTGCCTGTTGATGTAATTTTTTAGATGGTGGAGGGATGAATCTTTTTGTTTTGTTTTGTTTTTTTTTATTTTTTATTTATTTATTTAGTTAAAAAAGATATATAAATTTTTCCTTGATCTCAATCTCTTAATGCAAACTTCAACATCAGACTTATCAATTGATGCAAATGTTAATCAACGAAATTAATCTTTTGTTAAGCATGCATAAACAGTTATGTTAAACCCAATAAGTTTTAGTCTATAATTTTATTTTATATTCTATATATACCCAAAGCTACAATTTAAGGCTACGTTAATGTTTTTCAGTCCATATGTTACAAAGATTTTATTATTATTTATAATAAGCCACCTCCACTTGAGATTTCAAAGGTCTTGAAGAAGTGGCGCCAGATCATCCCTCTTATTTCTACTTAATTTATAGTAGGTAGTACATATTCAATTTAGATAATTTATAGTAGGTAGTACATATGCAATTTAGAGATATACTTTCCTAATTTCAGTTCTCATTATTAATCATTCCACACAGTTTTTATGGGTTGTTTTTCGCAAGAAAGTCAATATAGTCAGCCACAGAAACATAGCTAATCTTTGACTATTTTTAAGAGTAAAGACCAGGTCGAACTAAATTAATTAAAGAGGATAATGCTTGCAAGAATTCATGTTAGATCAATGGAACTTGCCGGCCATCAGCCTATTGGTCAGATTAAATTACTCCATTAAATGGGTCAGGTGAAATGCTGTGAATGGTCAGATATACAGAGGCAACATAATATCAAAATCAGTGAAATCGCTAGTACAAGAAGTTGGAAATAAAATTTAACGAGTCTTTTTTTGGAAGTTACAGTCACTATCCTTCTGAAAAGCAGATCACACTCGCAGAAAAGAAAACAAAAAATCAGATCATTACATGGAATTCAGATGCAAACATCATAGAAAGAAACAATCATAAAGACCTTGATTTGCATACAATGGTTCAAACACGCGTTTTCATATCAACTTACAGCCACTGAACTAATGGTATTAGCTTGTCAAAGTGAAAAAGATGCTTCCGAATTCGGTATAGATAGCAAGTGTAAAGGAATGCAGCCAGTGTCACCGCCCCAAAGGACATCAAATTCAACTTCCAAAAATCCTACACAATTTGACAACTTGTGAGTTTAAGTTTGAAGCATCCAATTCTAAAGAGGAAAGTTGTTTTTACGAAAACATATATAATGCATAGGTATCTCTGGTTGAGCACACAACAGCAGCACAACCTGTGCATTTAGCTACTCGCCCACTGTTGAAAACCTAAAAACTCAAGTGGAAATGCCAATACTAAATACAGAATTAAGTCGGAGGAAATAAAAGGAGAGAAGAAATGTCAAATTGTTGGCTCGTCTTGTGCCTGTTGAACCAAGTGGCTTCCGTGTGATTGCCTGAGGCTAAGCAAGCAGTGCCAGATGCTTCTTTTAAGCTAAATTCTAAGAATAATTAATTACCTGTGGGTTCGAGATTAGTATTCCCATGACATAAGCCATCAAATCCAAGATAGACTGAAGCGAGTTCTGAACACCTCCCACAATGCAACGATCAGATTCAGGAACAAGATCCTGTCCAGGATATGGTGAAAAAGAATTAAGAATACAAAATGCAGCAAGACAAATTTTATTCAAAATGAAGCCATCTAGATCTCAAGCAACAATAAATGCAGCAAAAAAAAAAAAAAAAAAGAAATAGGCTTCCCATCAAAAGAGAGACTTAAAACAAAATTTAACAGTATCGGATCGATTATTAGTGCTAGTTGTATATTCTACCTGCATTTGTTGGATGACGGATAAATCAAACATCCACAAACCAAGCCGAGATATTGCAACTCCACCCATGAGCATGTATGCTGATAAATGGCTATTTTTGACCCATATTGAAGCAACACATAGCAGCAGGCAAATCCACTGAATCAAAAGGTGCATGCCGAAAATTGAATAAGGCAAATAAGACCTTTTATTAGTTCTTGCTCTATAATTCCTCTATGGAAAAACAAAAGGAATTGAAGGTTAAGAGCATCGAGGAAGACTAATTCTAAAATGGCTAAGTAACTCCTTAATTGATGTACACAAGTGTTATACCTGAGACCAGACAGACCAGAGTCCAGTTCTGAGGGTTAAAATACGAGACTGAAGCATAGGGTACACAACTGTTGCAGCTATTCCAATTGAAGCACTAATTCCTCGTGCTATTCCAATTATAAATGCAGGTATGCCTTCCCATTCCAAGACTGCCGTCATCAAAGTCCCAAAGCTGGAAAAACATTAAAACGTGAATTGCCACAGAGAGAAAACATGCTAAATCCAAAACAATTTATAAAAAGTACTAAAAACACCAAAACAACAAATTCAGGTCAGACCAATGAAATAATTACTTATATTTACTTCAGACGTAAAACAAATAGAACTCCAAGATACTCACCTTAGGACAGTGAAATACAACAAAGCTAAAGCAACTCCCGGTAGAACAACATCTTGCTGCAAATATACTCTCCATGCATCAATGTAGGGAACCTTAGAGATCCACTCAATAACTGTACTTACAGAGCTTTTTCCTGTGGCTGCTGAATTCTCTCCATCATTGGCAATTGAACTATTTCTTTCCTGAGAAGCAGATATGCTTTCTTCCACGTTACTTGATGAAACTTTTGAAATCCTCCTTAGGCTGCTTTCACCTAAAGCTGGGATCCCCTTATACACGGACATAAAAAGCCAATATTCCACCCAAACAGATATGCTTGTCCACAGTGCTAAGGCCATAGCAGATGCTTTTAGTGATAAAAAGCTGATAATGAAGCCAGTTATAACTGGTGCAACTAGCTTACAGGTTAAATCAATTCGTCTTATAACAGAATTCATGTCAGTCAGTAAACCAGGAGGATGGCCTGTTGATATCACTACCAACCTGTTCTTGACAAAAAGAAAAAAAAAACATAAACTTTTGGCATAAAAGAAAGGGGAGAGGAACAGGAGAAGAACATTAATAAAACAAGCATGCTTGCTGTATGACGCTGAATCTTTACTTCACCACTTTAACAACTGAACATAGAATTGGAGAAATTGAGAATGACTAAAAGGATATTATTCAATTAAACATAGTCAAACATAGACCTCTTCAGAAACAATTTAAAGATGAAAGGATGGTAGAAAAATAAAACTTCTGGCCATGCATGCTTAAGTAGAATAACACTTTACTCCTCTTTGTATCATAGTCCATATTCTCTTATTTTCTTTCAGAGGACCATATACAATTACCATTCTCTTTCGATCAGGATGGTACCGGCTAAAGTTGACAGCACACCTACAGCTCCGGAGATGTTGGTCAATATCACCAGGGCGATGAATGCTACGAGATTTGTGAACTTCAGGCTTGAAAATACCAATAAGGCAATTACTGCACCTCCAGCAATTATGAAGGAGAGATTCTGGGTGACTAACCAAAGTTGAAGGACCTGCCAACAGATATTTACATATCTAGTCACTCTTTTATCAGTTGTTCAAATTTATTGATTAGCAGTGGGTTGTACATGCTTAGCGAAATGAGTTCATAAAAACCAGCAATCAGCAATCAGCCAATTATGCTTCTTATTTTTAAGAGAAAAATTCTATAGACGATCATTTATATGCTGGCATATCAACTGTAAGCTTATTTAATAGCACTTATTGACTAGAATTTCCACAGGCACCTATACATATGTTTATCCGAATTTTGCATAACTGACAGTTATTTTGCTGTCAGGAGGTAGCACCATGAAGCGATTACTATTAGTTTTTTAACATGTCATGTTACAATAAGCTTCAGTTATAAATCAAAACTTTTGCTAAAATTTTTTAAATCACATGGCTACGGATATTTTCATAATATATTTCATTCCACAAGGTTTACAAACGGGGTTTACATGGAAACTATAAGAATGTATTGTGCTTTATATTCTTTGTTATGTGCAAATCGCATATTTATCCTTTGTATAGTGTGTATATATGTTGAGAATCAATGAGAAGTTAAAACGTCTCTTGATCATTTTATAGAAACTGAACTTTGAATCTTAAATTTCAACTAAAGAAGTAAAGATCTGAAGCAAACCTTTACATATGTCAGCCTATCTACCCATCCGCCAATGATGGGACCAAATAGTGCAGTAGAAGCAGATTCCACAGCACCATAAATAGCAGCTAGGAGTAAAGAGTCTGGCCAAACACTGACCATGTATAAACCGACAGAAAATTCCCACATTCTGTAAAGAGTAAAAGAATCAGAAAGAACTGAAAGGCTTTAAACATGAATTCCAAGGAAGCACACAAGGGAGACAGGCAATTTAGATCATTATTGAACCAGCGATACATGCCTGGCAAAATCTAAGTAGTCAAAAGATGATAATTACCGATTTACTGTGTAATGGATGTATGTTCAATAGAAATTCCAGAAAATTTACATGAAAATAACCTGCAACTAATTAACAGTATTAATTCTTCAAATGTTTCTTCTACGTATCTTCTAGATGCATCACACAATAAAATAGGACACCTTCAGTTTAGCTGTACATCATCAAATTGAGATGGATCCAAATTTTGCCTTTTTTTTTTTTTTAATTTACAATGTGGAAAAAAAAAAAGAAAAAAAAAATGCTTCTTAAGGATAGAAAATTTGGAATACTAACTATGAAGGCAATTGTCTTGAATCAATATCAGCTGAAGAAATTTAGAATTCAAGAATTTGCCATGGATAGTTGTCATAATATTTAGCACTTATTTTGTAAAATGGAAAATGAAACACTCAAATGTAAAGTAACTCCAGCTTCAACCTGAAATGACAAACACTGATAGAACTAATACTTAGTTGCGAAGAAAATCTCCATATATAGTCACAATTAATCCCTTATTTAACAAGTTTAAATATATATATATATATATATATATATATACATATATCATGTAAATCAATATTCAGCCTCCTTGAAACCATAGCCAGATGGGGGGTGGGGTGGGGTAATGCAACAAGGAGGAGAAGAAAGGAACCTGGCACCCCATCTTGCAAGGAAGTGAGCGGCATATAGATAATTGAGAAGAGATGAAGGAGGTCCTTGTAAGGTTTGATGCTGATAAGCAAGGAGGGGTTGTCTATCCATTTGAATTTAATTTCAGCTGCTAGTCCAATCTTTTCTGGCTTCGATGAGGTATTCAGGTTGACCACTAGTTATGAAATAATTCCAGATCCAAATTCCTTTACATACACGGAGATATATCGATCAGTAGTAAAAATGACTACGGCAGCAATGAGGAGACGTCGTGCAAAATCTCCCAACACAGTTTTTAATTTCAAGTATAGCACTCTAACTGATCTCTCCTAGCTGGGGAAGGCAAAACCAAAACGTGGACTTCATCCGTCATTTTTCATTACTAACTACTAAAATCACTCTGATTTTTTTTTAAATTTATTTTTAAGGAAAAATCTGACTTAATTTGATATTGATGTCGAAGGAATATTTATTTGTTTATTTCTTCTACGATAGGAAAAATAATAATTATAAGGTAGAATCCCGTGCAGCTGCATTCGGAGTTTGAGCCAAGATACCAAATGAATTAGAGGGACGAATGAGCTCTACCTAAGGTCCACACTCAACAAATAAATCAGTTCGATAGAGGTGATCACTAAGCATGCAATAAGTATTGGAAAACTTTTGAGGAGACTCCATTAGTATGTGGCAGCATCTCCCAAATCTTCCAACAGAAAAAAGAAAAAAACTAATTGGCTTTCTATTATTATTTCAATCTCTTTCTCTCTCTTTTTTTCCCTTTTTTTTTTTTGTTTTTTGACATGAAAAAAGTTATTAATTAAAACTTGATGATCGTGAAAATGAGCTGATTTTTGCTTGGTTGACTAGATATATGTGAAAAAGATTTCCATTTCAAATCCCAGGTATCTTATCTTTGAAATGGTATTTTAGATTTCAATTAAACTAATTATTCAATGGGTCGGAAGCAAACAAAATAAACAAGTAGTAAGTAGTAGGTTCCTTGCAGCATGTGCCATGTATAATGTATTGATCAGATGAGGAGAGGCATAGGCAGATAACCCACTTCTTTCGCTGCCTCGCAATGCTCAACGTTTTAGACAAAAAGAAAACACCTACTAAAGCGAGATCAACCTAACATGAATGGGAGTTGGGCAACCTAATATGGTTGGATTCTTGCCAGTTAAACATGCACAAAATCACCTCCTCATGTATTAATTTTTATTCTTAACTTACGAGTATCTTTAATAGAATTGTGGCCATTAAGGTAAATGTATAATCCAAGGTACGAATGTTAATGAAATGCCAAGCAATTTGCAATGTCTATGAAAACAAAAGTCACGATTTTAAAATGATAGCATACAACTAATTATAGTTTAAGGGCTACTTTGTTTGCATGACAATACTTGATTATATTTGTTGATTGAACAATTAAATCTTCATGACAAGATAAGAATTAATCATATGGCAAGAAAGGATCATTTTGCCAAAATTAATCATTTCATGAAAACTCAAACCATAGTAAAGACAACCTTAACAAATTATCACATGATAATAAACCGATACCATATGTATCTGGTGAAAGGAAAAGAAAAAAGAATTAAAAAAAAAAACTTAGCTATGAAAAATGCAAATACAAAACAGATCGTTACAGGCACATTCAATGAGTCAAAATGGTCGTGAGAACCATGTAGACCCTGCAAAGAAGTAGAAAAGATATTAGTTCAAATACAAAGGATTAAACTGGTCAGTACGCATTAAGTAGTTTAGGTTGCTGTCAAATGAGATTAAACTACAAATTGAACATGCTAGTAATATAATACAAGGGATCGTGCTAGTTATCAGTATAAGTTTTACAGGTGTATCTTCTGAATTCGCTAAGTACATTAAATTCATTTATTTGTGTTATTCATTAACCCTTTCTATCCATGTTATTTAAAGTGATATGCCGGGCGTTTTACACTAATGCAAGTAAATAGAAAGGCATAGAAGTTCATTGCCAACGGAAATGCAATCCACAAATTTATAACTAAAAAATAATCAGTACCAAGTGGCTATAAATCCAAATCTGATGCATTGGAGGCAGATATGAGAAAAAAGAGTTCAAAGCTTCCATGAGTAAATAATTAATTTAATTCTGAGCTCATATATATATATATATATATATATATATATATATACGTGATGAAAGAATGCATCTGATAAGTGGACCTCTCTTTAATTATCTTGAACACAAACACTTGGGACCAATTAAAATTGACTAATGAGAATCAACATGAACTTTCTATCTAGTTGATCAGCAACTTTACTCATATGCATTGAGATTTCATCTTGTGTTTCTAGCCCCAAGCCCTGTTAAACAAGGGTGGAAATGAGAGAATAAACTCATAACCTTGGCTGTTCCTTCGCTGAGCAGCTCACAAGCCACTTGATCTTGGCAGAAATTGGGGCTCAGCTTGGTTTCAGCTCAAATATGGCGTGAGTTGAGATACTAGATAACTGATAATCTTAGGTTGGCTCAAACACAAGAATAAATGTCCCTCACAACACATAAAAGAAATATTTTCCAGCAGAAGAGAACTTTTAAGTATGAATATTGGTTAGACTGACACTGTTATTATCCTATTTCATCAAAGTCCAAACCTAAGACAAACAGTTTCATCTCCCACACTCCACCATTTTGAGTTCGTTACAGGGAGGAGCCTTTGTCCTAGTGCAGCAACAGTCCTGGCAATTCCATTTCTATCCAAAACCCTGTACAAATGTAGGCAAATTTGTAGCGAATAATATGAAACAACTAGACTTCTATATTATCCAACGCTAGATAATTACAGAAAAGGACTAACTCCCAAGCCTAAGAATATAAAATGTTAATATCAAACATGAGAAGAATATAAGCATATCCAGTATTCTGAGGTCAATTCCTAACCCAAGCGTCAGGGATGGAGAACTTGGAATTCCTCTTATAAAAGATTGGGTGCAGTGAAGCAAGCAAATTAAGCAAAAAATAATAATAATAATAAAATAAAAATAAAAAAGAGCGGAGCAATAAGGCACTCACAGTTCTAATGTTGGAAATGCAGAGACCAAGTGTGCTATCTCAAGAATCACCCTTCATTTCATCTGAATCTGAATCACTTGCATTATAACCAGATAAAGACTCACCAAAGCAAACAGAAAATAGAATTAATTCTCATACTAGTATTATAGTACCACTATTACAAAGTGATGAGGATAGTGATAGTTACAAAGGTGAACCTGGATGCTTATCGCTGACTTTCCAGACCGAAGACCTCATCCTCGATGCCCTTGTCATCCAAATTCTTCCCTATCATCCCAACAGACCAGACCAACATTAACAAAAAAAAAAAAAAAAAAAAAACAAAAACAGAATGAAGAATAGTAAAAGAAAGAAAAGAGGAAACAACATCAAGAATCTAAAACCCTGTTGCTCCTTTTACTAAACCTTTGAAGCTAAGAAGAAAAGAAAAGAAAAGAAAAGCTCGAAACTTTTCTTCATCTCGTGTAGAATTTTAAAGAAGAGCAAAATGGGAAATTATATAAACTTTATTTGTCTAACTTTTTCCGTAGCTATCAAAAATTGCAAAGCATAAACCCCAAACCCCAGAAAGATAAAATCAATCTCGACGAATAAAAATAAATAAATAAAAGAAGAAACATTTCAAGGATCCGAGAAGAAAAAGAAACCTTTTGCGCATCTCGGGGAACCCCATAACCGCTATAATACATTTGAGCAGTCAGAACCTGCATGTTGACATCCCCAGCTTTGGCTTCCTTGAGAGTGTCTTTGAACCAACGCTTGACGCAATCGGAGACAACCTCGGAGAGTGGCAGGCGTTGAGTGGCACTGGAGCTCTCCATGTTCTTCCTGGAATTGGACTTGCCTTCACTTATAATCCCTGGGTTTTGCGTTTTTCCCAGTTGTGTTGTGATGGTGGGCGGGAGATGTTGAACCTTGTTTGCGCTGGGCCTCTATTTTCCCAAAACATGAGTTAAACAAAAACCTAACTATATTAAAAAAAAAAAACCCAAAGGGTGAATTGAATTATAAAGAAAGAGAATAAAGAGGGAAAATCAATTGACTTTTTCTATTGTTTTTCCTTTTTTTTTTTTTATTATGTTGTAGATTTCTTTTATTAATTACTACTAATAAATTACTACTAAAAAAAACAGCCTAAAAAGTTTCTTTTTTTTTTTTAAGTCAAGCATGTAGCAATCTCAATTTATCCTTAAATAAATTTATTTTTTAATGTAATTATAATTATAATGAAATATTATATTTATATATAAGTATTATTAAATAATTAATTAATAAATTAAAATATAATTAAATAAATTTAATATAAAATTAAATAAATTCACAATAAAATTTTTTTAATTTGATGAAAATATATTCTTCAAATATCTCAAGGACAAAGAAAAAGAAGAAATGAGTTTGAAATATGGATGAACAATTAATCGATTTGATTCATTTGATTTGAAAAAATAGTAATTAAATTAATTAATTTCATTCCACAAATAATTGAATCGATCAAAAATTTTTAAATAATCAATGATAATTGAATCAATCAATTCGATTGGTTCAATTAAATAATTAAAATTTTTATTATAAATAATTATTTAATTATAAATTTAATTAAATAAAATTTAAATTCAATTATCGTTCAAATTAAATTATTAAAAAATTAATAATTTTAATAATATTTTATAAGAAAAAAATAAATAAAAATATTCATCACAAATTTTTATTTTTATTTATTAAAAAATTAATTAATTCAATTGATTCAATTATTAGTTTTAAAAATAAAAAATTAATCAATTTAATTGATTCGAAAAATCGATTATAACAAAAATCAAAAAAATCAAATTGAATTAATCATTTTTTATCGATTTAAATCTATTAAATTAGTTTGAACCAATTTCTACCTTAGTCCGGGGAGTGGGGAAGGATGCAGTGTTCTTATTTGGATAGCATGGAACAGGAAAGGGAAAGGAAAGAAAGCGGTATGTCATGTCCCGTAAAAATTACTTACTAAATGTTAAGAAATGGAAAGGAGAGAGAATGATAAATTATAATGCAATTTACTGATTTTTTAACAATTATTCTTTGCGAGTTAAAATAAATTTTTTATTTTTTAGTATTTATTTGGTAAAAATTAAATTAAATAATAAAAAATAAATTTTTATCAACAAAAAATAAAATCATTTTTTAAAAAATTATCTTTCCCTAAAAACAATTAAAAAAAACTATGAATATATAAAATTGCTTACCAGCTTATAAGTATAATTTTATTCAAGTTTAATTTTGCATATGATTTTTTAAGTTTAGATTTAATTTCATCAGACTCAAAATATTATTATATTAATAAAATATTATATTTAATTTTAATTAAATAATTTTATTTTTAATATTGTAATATAATACCAATAATATTTTAAAAATAATAATACTATTTTAAATATTTAAAATATTAAAATAGATGGTTTTACTTTAAGTGTTTAATATTAATATAATATCGTAATATTTAAAAATATTATTAAAATATAATTATTTTTTAATATTAATAATTGTAATTAATAAATAATTTCAAATAATAAATATCTTTAATATTTAAATATATATATATCAATATTATTTAATTAAAAAATAAATTAAAAAAACAAAACAAAACAATAAAAATTTTCTTAAAGTCAACTTTCACGGCCAAATGTTATCCTCAAAATCCCCCGAGTTGGAGGTTTAGAAAACCCAAATGAAAGATTTGGAGTTACAAAACCTTGTAGATCCCTCATATCTTCCTTCATTTATTTCAATTTCATGAATTTCCTTCGATGCTGCTCAGACATGGTACGTATTGATTTATACAATTGCTCCAACCACTATTCATGCTCAGATCCATCCACCATTCATGTCTTCAATAACAATTTACAGAGAAAAGCATCATCAACACAAACATGCTCACAGACTAGTAATTTTTCAAAAACAAATTTACACGTTTAGAGATCTTCAAATAATACGACACATCATTTGAATGTCGCAGCGCTTGCACGCCGACCCCCGTGAAAGTTTTTCTTGTATAAGCATTACATTTCACCGCACATTGGATTCCTTGAATAAATACATACATATATATATATATGTATATATACTATAGCAGAGAGCCAAGCCAAGTGCCCGTGACTAAAAGTCTCCATTGTGTAAGTGAGATACACAATGGGAAGCGCAGAATATTATACACCAACGGAATGAGAATGTCGAGGAAAAGAATATACCAGTGACCATACCAAAGATATTTCCTATTCACTTAGATGGACAAAGTAATATTGGATCAAACATTTTGAAGAAGTAACCACAAAAAAATGTTCCATTGCCTCAGTCCTTTCAAGAATCACTCCAACTATCTTCATCATCATCTTCGTCACTTCCAGCCAATGCCTATTAGAACAGAGATGATTTTAAGAATTGTACACTCATTAAATGCCAGATAATAATAATAATAATAATAATAATAAAGACGATGACAGACAGAAACCTGGCGAATTGCATTTGCTTTCTCCAAGATTGCTGCAACTCTTAAGTTGGTTTTAGGACCCTGAACACTGGGTCTGGTCACCACCGCAGGCTTCAAGTTGAAGGACTGTAGAAAGCAAAATAATCAACCCTCAATTTATCCAACAGTTGCATTTCCCACCTTTAAAAACTTTTTTTTCTTTCTTTTAAAAAGAAGGGAACAAAATGAATATTAACAATTAGGGGGAATAAGATTTAACCTTGGTTCGTATCTGTTCTAGCAAGGAATCTCTTTCTTCTACCTTTGGAATGATTGGAGGGCGAATCCGCTCAGTTACCTTTCTCAACTGAAGAAAATTCAAACTGTTACTTCAAAAAAAAAAAAAAAGGGCAGACCGAAAAAATTTGAAATGCAAGGCCATAATTACCTTGCTTTTGTCATGCGCAGCAACAGCATCAATGAGAGGATTGCGAGGTCGAGGAAGCTTCAAAGTTCGATTCCCATTTGGGTTTCCATCTTCAACAACCGGTAATAGAGCAAGCATAGTTGATGGCCATGCTGCTTCTTCCTCTGAAGTTGACAAATCATGATGCACAGTTGTATTCGATGTCTGTGCAGTTTCTCTCTCAGGAGCTGCCAAACCATGCTGAACAATGGCATTTGATGTCTGTGCAGTTTCTCCCTCTGAAATTGCCAAACCATGCTGAGGCTGCTCTTCTACTTCTTTAGGAAGATCCTCTGCTATCTTGGTTGGAATCTGCTCCTCTCTCTTAGTTTGTGGGTGCACAAATATATCAGGAGGATTCCCCAGTTCTCCCTCAGAATTTTGTTTAGGGTGCCCACCTTCCAAACCTATATCCAGTACAAATTGGTTTGGAGGATGTGTTGTTTTCTCATGAGAAGATACAGGAATATGTCTAGAAATTGTATCAGTAGCTGGCATCGGCAATGAGTAACTGGATTCTACCATATCACCCTCCATAGCAATGGAACCATATTCAAGGCTTTCATTAGATATTATGGGTAATGTTAAAAATGGGTTTGAGTGTGTTCTATCTAAACAGACATCACTGTATTGGCTATTTGCATTGCTACCCATAGTTGGAGGGTGCATAGAGAAAGAACTGGGCTGCATGCAATCAACAGCCAATTGATCAGACAGATGACCAGACCTCTCTTCACCGTCCACAATGGGTAAAAAAGGGTTTCTAGGTTGTTCAATCCCTTGCTCTAATGCTGGTAAACCAAATTGAGCTTTTTCTTCAGTTCCATATTCTGGAACCCTTGGGAATAACCCCTGGCCCTGTTCAACCAATTCTCTTTGTGAAGCTGGAGAAACATGTTGAACTCTCCCTATCCTCCATTGCATTGGAGGAAGAGGAGGCAATGGTGGCAGTTCCTCCATGCTAACTTTAGTTGCCTCAGGAAGCAGGCCAAAGGCAGGATGAATAGGATCTGATGGATAAATCTCTTGCTTATCCTGCCTACCTAATTTTTGTGAAAACTCTAATGAAGGTTTGCTCAAAGAGCCTTCTTCGGAATGTTCAATAGAAGTTTGTAAGCAATTTTCCTGATCTATGTGATCCAGAGACTGTATCTGATTGGACAGGAGATATGATGAATTTGAACTATCTTCAACTATATGCAGATTTCCCACATCATGCTGATTAGTGGGGAAGTCTGATGACTGTTCTAAAGAGGTTTCTTTTTCTGAGAAGTTGTAACTAGATGAATACACCAAATCTGCCCTACTCACCATCAGATGACTTGAATATTTCAATTCTGACCCTTGATCGCTCAATTCTGAAGAAGTTGGTGAAGCAGTTAAATCAAAGAAATTCAAACTTTTGGTTGGTTCAGCCAGGGACGAATAGTGAATATCTTCTTGTAAATTGTAATTGTTGTGAGAGACTGATTTGCGTGAAGTGGAATCTATATCTGCTGGAGTACCATCCACTGGATTTGTTTCTTCTCGTGTCTCTAACTCTATATGACATCCTTGAGAAATAACCTCATTAGATTCCGGTTGTTCCACACATAGATCTGCAGCACCGGAAAGAGACTCTTCCAAATTCATTAGATTTCCAGATTGAGAACAAATCAAATTTGAAGATTGAAAAGTAATATTATCAACACCATCATCAAAGTCAGTAGAACCACAAGCAGCAGTGGATACCGCAATACTTTCAGCTAGAACATTTTCAGATGCCAGATCATCTAAGCCCACATGATCCTTGAGGTCCAAATTATCAGCGCAATGAGATTGAAGATCACAAGGTATAGCATCTCCATCCACCACATTCACACTGCAGGTAAATTCCCTAGTTTCTTCTCCCTCTGCAGCATCAAAAAGTTCATCAACATTTTGCTTCTGTTCAGAATATGAAGCTCCTACCTCCGTTGGGTCAACCTCAAGTTCTGGATCATCGTGTAGTATGTCTGAAAATTGCTGTTCATTAAAGCCACAAATCTCCGAAGTATCCAGCATAGGAGTCATACATTCTGAGTCAAGACCAGCTTCTAAAGCAGTATCATTGACCTCTGAAGATAAGTTGACAGGCCTCTTAACATCCAAACCTTTAGCTGGTAGTGTAATACCTGAACCTCTTTCTACTTCTGCCAAGGTTGAACAAGGGAGCTGCTCCTCTGTCGATAAAGTAATGGAATATCGTGAATTCATTTGGTTGACTGAATTTTCGGCATAACTTTCTCCAGTAAAATCAGTTTTAAGAACTTCATCTAAAGGATCCTTACCACTTCTCTTTTCAGGAGCAAGCTGCAAAATGTTTGATAAATTTGGCAAACCATCAGAAGAAACATTTGTGCCTCCACAGTCCAACTCATCCACTGGATGGCTTTCAGTAGAAAGAGTGAGCAAAGAAACCTCATATTTCTCAGAAACGTCAGCAAAATTGACTTCTGCAGAATCAGCCAAATATTTTCCACCATCACAGTCTGACACATCAGAATTAGTTTTAACACCATCAGAGGGCACTTCATCAAGCTGCTGTTCCAGCAAAGAAAATACCATTGAATTGGCTTGATCCAACAAAATATGCGTGGAATTCAAATCTTCAAGACATGAACTATAAGATGCTTCTCCAAGATCAGGAAGCCTACATTCGCCAAAACAGGTATCTTTCGGTGACAAAACCTTATCAGAACTGGAACATTGCATCTCTGAACATGCAGGAAGCTGGATGGATGGTGCCTCAACAATCTCTGTAACACAAGTTTTATTAGAAGGGAACACTTTAGCTGCTACTTCACCATCTGACGGCATATCTTCAGCCAGATTGTCTAAAGTATCAGAGTAGGAAAAACTAGATGTTCCTTTCTTGAATGAGCTGTTTCCATCATCAGATACAGAGATCACAACTGAATGAGAATCTGATGAATGGGCTTGGACCTCAAGCTTTTCGTCAGTTGCATCAGAACCATTTAAGAAGCCAATGTCGTTCTTAGATCTGTATTCATTGTCTGTATCCATTTCAGATTCCATGGTAGTAAGGGCATCCATGTAATTGTCAACCTCACTGGTCATGTCATCAGAATGGTCCCCATCTGTGCTGCATTCTCTTCTGCCTTCTCCATCTACTATTATTTCCTTTTCAATTGTTACTTTATGAAAGGGAGGGGGAATTCCATCCGTGAAATTACTTGTTGGTTCAGGCACCCGCACAATCTCTCTGTCGATGACTTGTCCATTCAACTCTTCCATGGCAGGTTTCAGGACAACTTCTTGGACAGTAGGTGAAGAACTTGAGGTTTCCTTTCCTTGTGATGAATTTTTCACAGGACTCACTGTACCAATTTCAAGTATTTCAAGTCCAGATTCACTAGAATGATCCAATGTCAATCTCAGAGGTGGTGGAGTACCAGAGGCCTCATAAACTGCTTTATGGTCCAGTGAGGGAGTCTCAAGGAATTTCTCCATGTAACCTTTCCCAGATTTTGAGTGTAGTGGAGATTCATTTAATTGCCTTCTTTTTAGTTTTACAAGACGGGCAGGGTCATTGTAAGCATTCTCAATACGCTCCTCCAAAAACAGCTGCTGTAATCTGCACTATTAGAAAGTAGTTCAATCACCAAAAAACCATATTAAAACATTAACATGCATGCTTAATCAAGTAGAAAAAGCTCTATGGAACAGATGCAGAATTGAAGGACCCACTTGGCATGTGATGTCGGTGCAAATTCTGGAGTCTCCAGATTCCTCCAGCGTGATCCTTTCTTCTGAGAGAAATAAAATATTAAAAGCTGTAAGGACACAGGCAAAAATACCATATGGCACAACTAGCCGAAAATAGAATGAAATTGTGAGTTGCTTACAAAAATCAAGATGAACAAAAAGTTACCATGTGCTGCCCACTCTTTTAACAAATAATTTCACTCTATTGACATAGAAAAGGAAAAAAGAATATTTTGTACAGATGATAAGAAACTTAATCAGTATTTTGATATAATTTTTGCAAGTCACCCAAAATGCAACAAGTGCACCTCAAATGGAATAGGGCCTGAGATATGAAGTGTGCTGCTAACGTGAAAGCACACCTCACAATCAGATATTTTTTAAGTTAGGAGCTAATCTCTAAACTTGCCATGAGTCTGCTCAAACACAAACTCATAGATTGCTATCATGAACTGATAAAGACAAAGGGTAATTCAACACTATCAATGGGGTCATATATTCCCCCCCTCCCCCGCCTCCCAAAAAAAAAAAAAAAAAGAGAGAAAAAGAATGGAGTTACATTTCTGCTTTTTTTTTTCCTTTCCTACCTTCACTTTACGGGCTTTCTTTTCTCTCTGAAAGTCTACTGGTTCAATTCCAGGGAAAGCTGATTCTGTTTTAAAGAATGATGGATCAGTGTAACGCTTTAAACACGCCCCAGCACCCGCAACATCAAATCTGGAACAATTATTAGAATATTCATCATCTGAAAGAAATTTCCTTTCAACAAATTTACGACGGTTAAGATATAAGGTAATCTTACTTGTCCAAAAGGAATAACCGTGGAGGGCCCCGACATTCCTCGTAAGAATCCAGCACACAGCGAGGTAAGTCTCCACGAGTGATCAGATTATGTTCAGTGCGCATGTTAGGATGCCAGTCAACACCTGCGAAAAGATAATACATTTATCCACCAGTTTAGCAGATAATGCCTTTGTGCATGAAAACTCCAATTTCTATTTAAGAACCAAAAATAAATAAATAAATAAATCACTAATTAGGTCCATCACTCAAAGCTGACTCATCATATGTGGGAATGCAAAATGCATCCATGCATACTGATCCCATGACAAATTCCACCAGGAAAAAGTCATGAAAAGAATCTTTTGGTTTTTGGTTAGATAAACAAACCTTCTTTTTACTCTAAGATCGTTACAGCACATGGGGAAAGAAAGTCATAACGGTAATGCCCATATCAAAGGCACGAGGCACTCAACCCCTAGAAACTAATGTAGTTGTTTCAAAAATGTATAGATCTAATTTCCAATAATGCAATCAATGTACATCTAGAATATAAAATAAGAAACCAACACATATGCCAAAAATTGCGACAAGAAATAATATCAGATCCCAAGCATAATAATCAAATAGTGAATAAAAAACATTTTTAAGAACATGTACATAAATATAATGACATGTTTGTGTAAAAAATATGTTAGCAAGGATTTGAATCTAACCTGCATTGGTAAAGAATAATGAATGATTGGTTTGTGATAAAAATGCTTTTTCAATGGAAGGGAACTCCGCCTCAAGTTGTTGGACTCGAACCATTAGACCATGGCCTCTTGCAGCAGTTGCCATTACCTCTTCATGCAAGTCATGGAAAATCTCAGCAGCAAACCTTTATCAACCATGAGGAAAAGCAATTTAAAACCAGATAGAAGATGGAAAGCCAAAAAAAAACACTCACTTCAAATTTGCCACCAAAGTTCTACAACTCCAATATAAAACTATAGTAAATGAGCTAGTCAAACCATGAATCCAGGTTTATAGAGAAATTCCCGATATGCATAATTGCAACTTGTGTAATGCATTTTTTTTTTTAGATTTTGGTAGACATCAACTTGAATTGAAGTTCTGGATTCCAACTGCTAAATTGGTGATCTCCCGACCACAAGTTCCACAAACCAGAAATGTTAAAAATACAAAGAAACTCACCTTCTGAAAAAAAAAAAAAGTTGATCACAGAATCAATTAAGCAAATTCCAAGCATATCTCAGATTCAAATGGCAGGAATTAAAATTCCAATTCGGTATATTTGAGAAAACTTTTGAACAGATTCTGGTAATTTCTATAATCAGAAGCTCAAAGCAAAGAAACTTAGAAACAAGAAAACTAATTAACCAAGAAAATTTAAGCCATCTGATATCAATAAATAAATAAATAAATAAATAGTATATAGTAAATCTAAAAGCTCAGCTTCCAAACAGAAATCAAAATTGAAGATGAGTTCAGCTCCAAAAACGCAAAATTCAAAGATTAAAAGACTTATGAGCTGGCTCATAGCAAAAACTAGAGCTAAAACCAGACAAAATCGCACGTCCCAAAAAAAAGGAAGAGAGAGAGAGAGAGAGAGACTGACTCGGCGAGGTCACCGAGCTGGCGCAAAAGACCAACAAGGCCAGCCATGGCGACGCCTTCAAGTAAAGCCTCAGGATCATCCTTGTCGGCAGCTCTATGGAGCTCCGGATCCGCCAAGCTATACTCATTCCTTATCTGGTACCTCGTCAACGGCATTTTTTATCCTCTCTTCCGGCAAAAAGAAGAAAGAATCCCTAAATTTCTCCGTATATCGAAAAAGAATAAAATTTTATCTTGATGTTTGAAACCGCATTCACTTGAGTGATTTTAGGTTGGCTTTGTTGAACTTTTGATTTTAAGGAAACGAAGGAATGAATGACGAATGAATATATACAGTCGTGTGAGAGAGAGAGAGACTATTTTGTAAATAACTTTTTTATTATTACTATTAGTAAAAGTAGAAGTAATAGTTTGAGTATTTTTTTATTTTTTTTTTAATTTTTGGGTGAGAAGTAAGAAATTAAAAGCAAAGGAAACGGTGGGAGCAGTATTATTATGTGCGGCGCACATCGTGCCGATTATGATGCGCTCCTTCTCTTTTAATTAGAATTTGGCTCATGCTTTGCTACTAATCGCATTTATATTCACATTTAGGTTGAATTTTTATAAAGAGTGTGAGTGTTCAACTTTTTAAAAAAAAATTATAAATGTTAAAATTTAAAATTATTAAATATTATTTTTAAAAAATGATTGTATAATTTAATTTAAATTTAAATTTTATTTTATATACTTTTGAATTTGATTTCATCTATTTGTATTTGGATTTTGGGAGATCCCAGCTTCCCAAATACTTTTGGTTTTGTATTACCCACTCAATTAATGATTTGGCTTAAATTTCACGTCATGATTTGATTATGCCTCCATCCATATGAAATGTAAACACGCACACAAAAATTAGTAAGCAAAAAATATAAATATTTTCCACCTCTGTTTTTATGCCTCCTTCTATATGAAACACACGCAAAATTAAGCAAAAAAAATTATATGGAAAACTATTTAGTAATTAAGTATTGCTTGTGGTGTTACCTACCATGTATCAAAAGTCAAAAGTAGTTACATGCTCCTTTTTTTTTTTTTTTTTGATAGCGCTTAGAAGCCAGGTACTCAAAGAGATGACATGCTCATCTTCATTCTCTATCATCCTGTAAACACATTATTATTTTCATATTTTAAGACAAGCAAAGTAGGGTTTTTTTTTATTTTTTATTTTTTATAAAATGGCACATATCATTCAACGTAGCGATGAAATTCACAATATGATCATAAATCATTGTAAAAATATTTATAAAATAAGCTAAAGTTTTGTAAATACGTCCATTTTATTACTAACATTTTAAAAAGCATAATTGATCTTGACAATTAATTCAATTAATCATGTCTCCACCTTTAAGATAAAAATATTTTAGATTTAAAATTTAAATTCTCAGACTTATAATTCTTTTAGGATTTTTCATATTGCAATTTTCTTTGTAAAACATATATATATATATATATAATTGTGTATAGAGAATAATGCATTGGGGATATGAGTATGTATTTTCAGCAAGCATTAATTACTGCTACGATTTTACATAGAAACATACTTAAGCCAAACATCATCATCATTAATCAATAATTATCTAGAATTGGGTAAAATCTTGGGTGGAAGGAAAAGATGGAGGTAGGCCAACAAACATTTTTTATTAGTGTGATTTAGGTGATCCCCTTCTTCTCAAGATCATGTTAAAAGCTGTATAATGTAAAATAAAGCACCTAATTAACACTTACAGATGCATCTTATGTGAGAAAAGATCTACATACACTTAAAAAATTAAAAAATAATAAAGTTAAAATAAATTTACATTTTAAAATTTTTTTAATGCTTCTAAAAATTAAAAAATAAAAAATTTGTCTTGAACATTATTTTCTTTAATAAAATTAATAAATTTATTAATAATTATATATTATATTATAAATGAATACTAAAAACTTTTTTTTTTTATCTGCCAAGTTCCAGAAACGAAGCCCGGGAACGAATAAAATTCTAAACAGCAGCTCCTCTAATGATGAATGTCCCCTCCCATTTTAGAGTTTAATAAGCAGCGTTAACAAAAAGAAAAATTAAGCCCAAAAATACTTAACTATGAGGCGTGAAGCTTCTCAACTGGAGGCTGAAAAATATGAAGCAGCCCTGGGAAAGCAGAGGGGGCCACGGTCATTTTAGCAGGTTGACTGTTGAGCGGACGAATCAAATGGGGGACCCAGGAAAAAGTGTCCGATTGTTGTATTTCGGTTTCACTCATACCATCATGGTCCCCAATTCATATATAAATTAAAATAAAATAGAAATACAAAATAAAATAAAAGTGGAGTAGTGTTATTTTATTGTTTATTTACTAGCTAATACTACTACTACTAGTAAAGTATTAATAGGTTATTTAACGACTGAATTAAATGTAATAAATATATTGATGATGTATAACGTATAAACGCGAAAAAAGAATGGAAAGTGGAAAGTTTTTTTTTTTTTTCTTTATGATGTGGGACCGAGGAAGACGTGGACATGGGTCACATTGGAAATTACAAAATTTGAGGATTGATGATCTTAGAAAGGCTGATCATTATTATTATCTAACAGCCTATCAGGGTCTCCCACATGCCACATCGGCCTTAGGAAGTTAATCAATCCATTCTCGAGTCACTGTGTTGTGTCCAAGACTCAAGAGGAAGATTATATGATTACATGTAATCCTACCTGCAGTGGCAATTAAGCAACCAACCTTCAATCGGGTGTAGAAGCTAAGTGGGATGTATCATGGGATTGGCAGTGAAAATGTACACTCTTTTCTTGCTTCTATACTGAAATTAGTCTACAGATTCATCGTGTGAGGTTACAAAGTTCAGCTCTTAGAGAAATGGATTAGTGATGTAGTCTGTGTTGTTGCATGCCTTTGCTTTCTGGTAACGCCTTTTTTTTTTTTTTGGTAAAAACCTCATGGAGATTTTTCCCTTTTTAAGCTTCTCATCTCATCTGTTTCTTATAGAATTTTTTTGTAATTAATGTTGGTCCCCTCTCATGTGCTCAATAGCATGAAATTGGAACTCTAAACAGTACGCCATCTTCACATGATTTTTAAAAATAAGTCGAACAGCACTAGAGACTAGAGTGGCTACCCAATTGAAATGTGTCCGTGATCAATATTTGTCCACAACATACGTACAACTAACAGAAGAGGGGTTAAAGAGTAATCAAGATTCATTCAAGTGGCTTGGAGAATACTTGGGGGGTGGGGTCCTTGGTCGCTCCTTAAAATACATTTTCTACTATGTTTGTAAATAATCATGTAATCTTTGCTTTAAAGCTTTGGTTGATACAGTGGGAATTGGGAAGCTTTCGGTTTCAGCTGATGTATGCTTGTGCTATAGCTAAGCTAGCAATTAGGCCTTAGCAGGCAGTCAAAGTTCCTTTCCAACCATAATCTTAAGCCCAACAACTGTCCGATGCAGGCTGAAAAAGAACAAGAAAAATGATGGGTGGCAGTGGAAATTGTGGTATTCTTCAGTTGCTAAGCAAAGCATGTCTCAGTTTGTTGATTGGCGGCTGAATCGTTTGGCGGTTTATTATTCACTTGCACTATGACTGGGGATTTCAGTTTAATGGTCCAAGGCCATAGATGACTGGGGATTCTGGGCTTAGATTTAGCTTTTGGGGCCATGCTGAATGATACATATGGGCCCTTGATGGAAACAATGTCGGCAGCTCCAGTGAGTCCAAGCCAAGAAAGAGGAGCAAAGCGAAAAAATACTCCCCTTTTTTTCAAACATGGTAGTGAAAATGTGTTTGGTTTTAGAGTGGGGGGAGGTGCATGTCGGCATCAAATTTCAAAATTTACATAGAGTAGCCATTTGTTGGAAAATGAAAATGATATGATGGATTGGCCAGCCGCACCAATATGATCATCAAAATCAAACTCTATGCCAAAAGGAAAAAGATATCATTAAGAAAAAGTAATGAAAACAACCCTTGGTCTAATGCTAATCAATCAGACTGTGTGATATTAAGAATAGATTAAAGCCCATTTATTTTATTTTTTATGTATTTGTGACGCTCAAAAAATTTGGAAATTAGTAATTGTAATCCAAGTCCAGTCCAAACACCACAAAGAAAAAAGGCATTATCCATTACTCCAATTCCAAATTGCTTGGGAAAATATATTACTATTATTATATGCCTTAATATATTCAATCATTTTAATTTTGTTCTTTGAAAACAAAAGAAAAAGGACGGGACATCTGCAGCATTAAAGGTTATAAATAAATAAATGTAGCTATTTTCTTTTAAATGTTTTAGAAATTATTATAAATAGCATATGATAATATTTGTGCAAACTTCTTTGAGGATATTCTTGAAATTACAAGAAAAAAAAAGAGTGGTTAAAGACAAAGGCAAGGAGTATTTCTTGTTTTTACACTTTGATAAGCAAGTCAGAGATCAAAATGAGAGAGGCCGATAAGAGAGAAAAGCAATGAATTAGAACAAGATGGAACTTGGCATGACAATACCTGGATGTTCATATTTATAGGTAAGAGGCATAAGATGGGGGACAATGGTGACTTGGCCGAATTGATGTGACACAAGATATGTTAGACAGACCTGATATGTCAAGTCAGCTCAAATGTCTGAAATGTCTAAAAGGGGAAAAGACCGTAATGCTCTTTTAACCACTAAATGCCCTAGCATTCTATCCTCTCGTCGAGCAATCTGAGTATTAGACATTGGGTGTATGATTAATTTATTTTACATATGTTGGTCGACTTAAAAAGGGTTGCTAGGGATCCAATATCCTTTAGGCCAAGGTTGTGAATTCGTGAGATTGACGTGAAAGCAAGCATCGAAAGGTGATATTTGTTATTCATTTTGATCTGGGCTATCCTGGTATGTGCTGACTTGATGTGGGTTTGATCTTGCACGTATGTTTCAAGTTAAGTACATGGCTTGTTTAGAGTTTGCCAAAGTGTCTCTATCTTGGATCGTCCGAGGTGAAGACATAGGGATTCGAGAAAGCGACGGAGTTCATCTGGTCGATGTAAACTTAAATATTTTAAGAATTCAAATCTTTATTTACATTATAGAGGTAACTTGGTGGTCAGTTCACCAAACTGGTTCGAACTGGGTCTTGTTCAATTTGATCGATTTAGGTGGTTAAAATCACATTGAATGAGGGGAGATGTTGTTTGCGTGGTAAAATTCAAAGCAGGAAGGTGAAAAGATGCTCTCTAACAATGTTTTAACATGTGATGCAATTTGGGCTATTCATCTAATTTAGGGCATGGCTATATAAAGGGTTGTTGGGGCTTTCATTTTTTACCTTTCTGCTTTCTTACTCTTAAT